ACTGAGCTGCCCAGGCGCCCCATGATTTGACAATCTTGATTTTCTGATCACTGTTTGGGAGACTGTGGGGTGTAACAGCAGAACACCCTTCATAGTATAAGGAAAGACCAAGTTGAGATCCCAGATTCCCATCTCTTTCGTGGGAAGACAAGGCAAGCTGCATGTTGCAAGATTCCTGGTGCCCAACACGTCCCCCACTTTTCCATCTTCCCCAAACACTGGAGTCAAGATGTAACTGTCTTCCCTGTGGGCTGAGGAGAAATTCCCAGGGAAATGGACGCTTTTTGTGGAAGAGACTGCAGCCACCTAGCAGGTGGGCCTGCCTCACCTGGCCAATCGGACGTTGTCACTGTCATCTCTGCCCCACTCCCAGCCCTTTCCAGGGTCCACAGCAAAGTGCAAGGGCAGCAGCTTATGCTCCGAATCCGTGAGTGGGATTACAGCTGGGGAGGAAGAAACATGTCGTCAAGGAGTCTTCTTGAGGAGAGAGGAAGGCAACTGAACACAAACGAACTTCATTAAAAAGGAGGCTGAATTGTATCACAGGTCTCTAATGAGCTCGCTTCTCAGGTTTCACAAGTGAAATCCCCAGGCATTAAAAATGAACAGACTGGTTTCCCCTTACGAGCCAGCACACAATTTAGGCCACTAATCTCCATGACTCCCCAGCAGTCAGTCAAGGAACACTCACGATGTTCTTGCCAGTTAATGTGGGTTCGAGGAATAAGGCAAATACAGCAAAGCATCACTTGGAAGGTTCTGTGTCCTTAATACATTCACTCTTTACTCCAGAATGGGGAGCAGTAAATACAGGCAGGTTACTGTGTTCTCCCCAAAGCTGTTCTTAAAAACAGTATTTATTTTTAATTTAAAAACCCCGGTTTATCTTTAGCTTAGTAAAACCGTATCAATGTGCGTGGTCTGGGTTTGCGTGTCACTTAATTCTTTCCTGCTACATTCTCTCCCATTTCAGTTTCTCCAAGTGAGAAGAAAGCACCAAAAGACACCACAGACACTAACACTGCATTCAGCACCTTGTTCCTTGGCGGTCTCCTTCTGCTCCATGGACACAAGTGCAGAAAAGTGGGCCTGATCATAGGCGAGCACCAGAGGGGAGCGGTGACACTGGCTGGCTGGGACCTCCAAAGGCAGATAGATTCCCCCAAAGGGAATAGGGGCAAATGCTGCAGCAAACCACAAAGATTGTTATTCAGGATGTGTTCCTGCTTACAGGGTAATCCCCACACCCACTCTACCAAGTGAGTTCCCCCCTTTCATTAATTCTAACCCCTTGTTCATCATTCTTTCCTAAGAAGCCTCATCAATTAATCCCAACCACTTTGCTCTTAATCTCTTGAGAGTTTTGCACTGTTCTCATGTATACCTTGCTTCTCCCCAGGGGTCTACGTAGCCCCTTCCTTCCCTCCTCCCAGTGCTCAGCCAAGGCTCTGCAAACAGAAGGTGCTCAGGGCATGAGGACTGACTCACCTTCCCCACCAGAGTCCCTCAGCATGGTGTCGGCCACAACAACTATGGGCCTCCTAAGTACGTGGGCAAGGACAAAGACGTGGAATTCTTCTAGGCTCTCATACACGGGCTCCTCTGAGCTCTCCACCCTAGAGTTACAGGAGAGGAGATTGTGGAGGGGAAGGGGAAGAAAACACAACAAGACGCCCTTGAAGATCAGTTGTGCAAAGACAAAAAAGAGGAATGTCCTTTCCTGGTTTTCTCATCTTAAAGCTGCCACTGACATACCTGATTATGTTATGCTACCATGGCTATTTCTAATCCCATTTCACAGATGGGGAAATCCAAGAAAAGAGATCTGAAGGCCCTAAAGTTAAAAGTTGTATTAGGAATCTGGAGGTAATCCCTCTGCTAAAACCAATCTTGTTCAACAGCATTCCCCAATTCGCTTTACGCTATAGCTCAGTACACAGCTGTGTAGTTCCGCTTTACCCACTACAACCACCCACATACCATATGCATCATGTCCTACACAAACAAAAGAAACAAAAATTCCTCTTCCAAGGTCCATTCCGTGAAGAACAGTATCTCACTTCACCATCTACTAGTAGCCTAATCAGAAATCTGGGAAATATTTACCCTTTAATCTTCAGTTAATCACCGGGCTTGACCAATTCCATCTCTTCCGTGTCTCTTGTATCTACCTCCTCTGGCCTGTCTGCAGTCCACTGCTTAGTCACACCCATGGCCCTCTCTCCTGGATTCCCACAACTGTACCCAGTCTCACTGCCCTCCACTTCTCCACCCACTCTGCTGGCAGTATGTTCAAATACACGACTTTGGCTCCCGTCACTCGCATGCGCACAATACAGTGGCTTCCTGCCCCCTGAAGCAATGTTATTCAACACTGGGTGCTTGGGACAGATGCAGATTTCTGGGCCTGAGCTCAGTCCAACTCAACTGGACTTCCTTAGAGTAAAGGTCCCCAAATCTGCATTTAAAAAAATTTTTTAACGTTTATTTATTATTGAGAGACAGAGAGAGACACAGCATGAGCAGGGGAGGGGCAGAGGGAGGGGAAGACACAGAATCTGAAGCAGGTTCCAGGCTCTGAGCTGTCAGCACAGAGCCCGACGCAGGGCTCGAACCCACAAACCGTGAGATCATGACCTGAGCCAAAGTTGGATGCTTAACCGACTGAGTCACCCACCCAGGCGCCCCTCCCAAATCTACATTTTAACAAGTCTCCCAGATTATTCTTATGCACAATAAAGTTTGGCTAGGTTATCATTTTTAACTTTGTGTTTCAGAAAATTTCAAAATTTTAAACATTCACAACTAGAAAGAATATTACACCTAGACTTTCATGTGTCCATCACCCAGCTTCAACAATTATAAAACACATGGTCAAGGTTGTGTTCACCTAGACTTTGATCTATTTCCCTGTTAACTCCCACCCACACCCCCACCCCACCAGATTATTTTGAATCAAATCCTAGACATATCATTTCATCCATAAAATTTCCAGTTTCTATCTCTAAAAAATAAAAGATATTTAAAAACAACCACATAACCATAAATATCACATTTCAAAATTTTAACAATAATCAAACATGTAGACATTGTTTACATTTCCCCAACTGTCATAAATGTCCATAGGTTCCCACTAGTTGATTTGTCTAAGTGTCTTTAAACTTAGGTTCCCTTTCCCTTTCTATTTTCCTTGCAATGTATTTATTGAGGAAAGAGAGTTGTCTGTCCTGAAGTTTCTCAACATCTGGATAGGATATGGTTTTAATTCCTTAACATGGCACAACAGAAACCTCAGCATAGCACACGAAACTGTGGTTACCCAGCCTAGTCTATCACTCTATACTACATACTCTGTATTCTGGCAACGCCAAACTGCTTGTAGTTCCTAGAACATACCATGCTGTTACACCCTTCTTTGCCCTTGCAATGGCCCCTCTCTTTCCTTCTAACAATCCTCTTAGCCTCAAGTTCTTCGGACACTGAGGACTCAGTAAAGATTATTTTCTACTCCCCCACTTAGCCATACTTACCCACCACAGTTGGCTCCGTTGGTACCTAGATGCATGCGGGGTTCACTCGAGGCAAGCTTGATCAGCTCATTCCATTCCTTCTGCCACTCATCCTCTGTGTAAACCAGCCCTGACTGTGTGAAAGACAGGCAGGAGAGATGAAGCAATTAGAGGCTAGGTTCTCAAGGCAGTAGCTGTTCAACTCAGTCACACTGTCCCACTGCCTATTCTCTTGGCCTTGGCTTATAATGTGTACTACAAAGTCACAACTCTTCTCCCTTTCCTAGTCAAGATCCACAGAAGTTTCGGCTCTCTCTCACACTTCTTCTTCTTCCACTCTTTTCCAGCCCATTGTGGTCTAGCTTCTGTTTCTTTCCTCAGCCTACACCCCTTACCCCATTTACATGACTTCACCTAACCAACTCTGGCAAAGGATAATGACCTTCTAATTCCCAAATTCAGTGGATTCTTTGGTTCTCATCTTTCTCAGCCTTCACACAGATTTCAACTCCTTGTTAAACTTCCTTTTCCTTTAGCTTCCACAATACTACTTTCTCCTGTCTCTCTCAACTCTGTCCACCCTAGCAATATTGGTGTTGTGTCAACAATATCAGCAGCCTTGCTCCCTTCTGGGTGATTTCTTCTACTGCCATAATCTCATCTACTGCCATCTATATGCTCAGGACTCTAAAATGTCCCCTCCAGTCCAGACTTCGTCTTAATTTCTATATTCATATCCAGCTGCCTACTGAAGATGGCTACCTGCCCGTGACTATCTCAAACTCTATGGAGTCAAAACTGAACTCCTACCTCTTCCAACACCACACTCTTCCTCCTGTATTCCTGACTTAGTGAAGAGCACAGAGTAACAGCCAAACACCCAAGCTAGAAACCAGGGAGGGTACCAAAGGCTCCCCTCCTTGTACCCACTCCACACCTGGATTCCTTAGTCAACAATTATAAAGCATGAACAACTGTGATGGACCCTTAAATGGTATCACTACTCTAGTCTGCACTCTTCTCATCCACCTCCTACAATGCTAACAGAAAGATTTTTCCAAAATTAAAATCTGATGTTTGCGTCCTGTCACAAATTCTTTTCAGAACCGTCATTACCTACTAGATATAGCTCAAACTCCTTAAGTATAGCATACAAAGTCCACTTCCTGGCCCCTACCCACCTCTCGAAGGCATCATTTAATTATCTGTAATTCCTTGAATGCACTGTGTTACTTTGTGCTTGAGCCTTCGTCTAGCTTGTTCCTTCAGTCTGGAGCAGCCTACTCCCTGCCACCTGGTGAACAGTTTCTCCACTGTCAGGACAGAATTCAAGTATTTTCTTCTCTGTAGCCTTTCCTAAATCTTCCGGGTAGATCCACTCCTGCCTTTGTGGTCTCCCTCCTCAACTGCTATATAGACTTCATCACAGAAACCATAACCTGTTACCTTGGTGCAATTATGTATTTACATGTCGGTCTCCTACTACTACTCTTACGGGCCAGGAGCACATTTTAGGCAACATGCTAGTGCCTATGATGTGATCAGTAATCGAGAAATGCATGCTGAATGAAACTATAATTTTTAGCAAAGGAATGGGAGAAGTGATACAAATAATTTAAAAATATCATTTGGCTTTACAGTATACATGATAATTTGGGAGATGAGTCTGTGTTGTTAATTGTATTTGGCTTACGCTAATATTTACATGAGTTTATACTGCTTAAACGCACATTGACAGAGTAGAAAGAATCACACTGGAAACATGAAGGGCATGAGGAACAAATTTTAGAATTAAAGAGCTGTTATAAGCACATTTAATCTTAATAACAAAAAAAGTGACAAAGCTATTTTCTGTTTGTAAAATTCTGTAACAAAGCTTTCTATTAAAAATAAAAAGAACAATGCACAGGCAATATATACTGGGTGCTCTGGTCACTCTCCGTCTTCCTCTCACCTATTTCAGCTTCCTGTTTTTATACACACAGCCACTAGATGGTGTACCCTTCTAGCCTGAGAATGTACTTACTGGTTTGTTTGATTTTTTTCTTTTTTTAAGTCTATTTATTTAAACAATCTCTACACTCGACGTGGGGCTAAACTCACAGCCCCGAGATCAAGAGCCACATGTTCTACTGACTGAGCCAGTCAGGCACCCCATCCTCACTGAATTGGTTGACACCAATTTCAACACAAAACAAGAAGCCCTGAGAAATCAAAACCAATTTAGTTTGTGTGGTATTTGGTCCTGATTACCCCCCAGTCCCTCACACCTCCCTCCATTCCCACGTCCAAGATGCTGTATAATACTTTAAATGGTCTCAACTAAAACACTTTTCTAGGCTACATTTTCAGTATCGAACTTTTACTTAATAGCTAAATGCTCTAGTCTGGCCTTTTCTGGACTCTGGAGTAGGCAAATGTAAGGTTCGGGTATGGAGTGAAGTCAGTGGTGAAGAAGGCCAACTCGAGACCGGTTCTGGCGCAGGCCAAAGGAGCTCTCCACGAGGTCCGTGTCAGCTAACCAGGGAGCGTGGGATTTGGTGGTAGTGAAGAGGGCCGTCCACTTAGCCTCACCCCTGTGCATCTATTTCCCCTCAGGAATCCTCTGGGGAAGACTGGGTGATCAAAGACAGCACTCTGATCTTAATACTATCCTAATTTTAACGACGGTTCTTTGTTTTTAAGAAAGAAACATGACACATTCTACCTACATATTTCAATCTTCAGGACATAAAATTCTAATAACTAAAAAAAAAAACAAGACAAAACCTCTTAGTTCTATACAATGGCCAGTTATGACACAGCAATAAAAGGTGACAAGAAAGAAGATGGAAAGAAAAAGGAAAGTTTCTGAAAAGACAATCCCATATTTAGGCCAGAGCACCCAGCCATAAAAATGGCAAAAAAAAAAAAAAAAAAAAAAAAAAAAAAAAGACACACAAAGAGCATGAGATAAACACAGAAGACAGAGAAAACCAGAGGAAAAGGAAAGAGGGAGACCTGTTATCTTTATGGAAATGTACAGAATCATTATTATATTAAAGTGAGGGGTCGGCAAACTCTTTCATTGTTCTGTCATAACTGCCAGTCAATCTTTTAGGCTTTGCGAGCCATATGCAACTACTCTATTCTGCTGCTGTTCTAGTCTACATGAGGAAAGCACTTAACATAAACAAACACACATAAATGAATGGGCAGGGCTGTGTTCCAATAAATTTTTCTTCTTTTTTTTGTTTTATAAAACCGTGGGTGGGATTTGTCCCATAGGCCATAGTTTGCCCAACCCCTGTTATGGGGATGGAAAGTACACAGAAAATACAAACAGTCCATTGTTACTTTCTTATACAAAAGCAGTCTCAACATCTGCTGAACCCCTGAAAAGTACAATTAAAACTCAATTTAACAGGCATGTTTTTAAGATTTTCAAACAGAGTACATGAAAAGCAAATAGTACATACAGCCAACAACATTTTTAAGCATTTACATTTTTATAAGGATTGAAAACACAGAAGTCCTTAAAAATTGGTCTAGCCTTATTAGAGGCCAAAAAACCCAAAACAATACAAAAATCCTGTGGACTTGTCATTATCTTATTTTGCAAAAGACTGCTACTGAAGGCTTCCTGAGCACCTACCCGATGAGAAGCACAACATTAGCTACCTCCTCTATAGGTCTCGGCTTCCCCACACTAGTTCTCATGACTGTATCAGGCAGGCATCGGCCCTATGGCATCGTCTGCATTTTCTATAATTTCCAGGATTACAAGAGGAGCGCCAACTGATTAAACCCCAGAAGACACTGCCTACTGGGAAGCACAGAGCATTTTGTGTAGCTAACTCTGGGGAGTAAGGTGCTCCCACCCAAACTCCTTCACCTCCTTATTCTGCTGTGTTTGCTGCCACCTCCAGCGCCGTTTTAATGCTTCCTTCTCAGCTCCTTTCTCCATCAGTGCGTACAAAGCTTTACGCAACATCAAGTCCCGATCATGGAAACCCCACATGCCTGTGGCAAGGAAACATATCAGTAGGACACTTTACCATGACTTCACACCACTTATTAATTATGATGCACATACCCTAGCATGAAGGAAATCAGGCTGAAGGCCAGGTTTAAAGAACCCACTGTGACATAGGGGAGAGCGACTTAATCATGAAAGAAAAGATGTTCCCACTCTGGAGGTTCAGGAACTTCAAGAACTTAACAGTGGGGGAATATACCACGTCCTACAAACTCCTGATAGAAAGCCCCTTATTCCTGATGTAAGTCCAACAAACTAAAATACAGGGTAGCAGCAGATAAGATGGGTCTGGCACATGGCCATCAGCATCAAAGCTGGAGGGATGGTTGGAAAATGAAGACTTTTTAAAGATCTAAGGCAAAAGACATTGAATTATAAATAAGTTGTACAATTAAAGTAAGCAAATATCCCAGAAACCGATGAAAACACATCTTTTTTATATACCAGAAGAGTAAGCATTAAGTAGAATGATATCCACACATAGCTCTATAGCGCTTGTATGCTTGCTGCTCACTACTTCTGGGGGGCAGCTCTTGGAGCGGGACCCATGCTAAGTCCTGGCTTCTCCATATGTCCTCTGAACAAGGCTGAAAATCCAGGGCAGAGCTCTCCTCCATCCCGTCCCGCATGCCCATGTGCATGTGCACACACACGAGCGCGTACACGAGCACGTACACACGCACTGTATCATTACTTCTGCCTAAGATCAAGGTTAGCTGGATCAAGTCCTGCACATGAGATTTAATTCTATTGCTTTTGGAGGGTATGGAACACCATCTTCAAGACTCACCTAGGGAGGCTGCATGGAGAAGGCAGTTTCCATCCCCAGTAGTTGCCAAAGGAAGCAGCCTCTGGCAGGTAGGGTCCACACTCACCCACCAGTTCAAACGCCCTACAGAAAAAGGAGGAAAAGGAGAGGAGCAGATTATCCTTCCCACCCCCTTGCCCTCAAACAACTCCCAACTTGCCTCCACCCAAACTTGGGTAGGAAGCCTACCCAGAATAAAATCATCTCTGTTTGTCTTTATACCTTCGTCACTTACACCTAGTCCATCAGAAGCTGGAGAGCATGATTGGTTAGATCAGCAGTTGTTACACGGGGACCACTGATCTCATCGATACCCAAGGGACATTTGGCAGTATCTGGAAATATTTTTGGTTGTCACAATTGGTAGGGGGGATGCTACTGGCATCTAGTGGGTAGATGCCAGGGAGATTGCTAAACGTAATATAATGTACCAGGCAGCTCAAACAACAAAGAATTATCTGGTCCTAAATGTCAACAGTGCTAAGATTGAGCAACTCTGCGTTAGATGAGGAGGCCAAAGTCACAGGTTGAAATCTGTGTTGGCTACTCGCTCTGGCTCTGATTCCTTCACTCTGCGCCGGAGACCAGGGAATATTGTGCCGGTGAATCTCAGCACAAACCCAACATCAGTAAAAGAAAAACCAAAGCATGTAGTCCAAGTGTCATGTAAGTATCATCTGCATACGTGACAGTCAGCGTTGTCAGCTTGTATGTGGTATGACTTTAAAAACATGAGCAACAAGCAAAGTGCATGAAACACCTAAGAAAATGAGTCTCAGTCCTGTACAGTCATCCACAATTGCCAACCCATTATTCATATGAGGACAATATTTTATGAATCATGCTTAAAAGTTTTCCTGAATTACCGAAAAGTCTACAGAAAGAAAAATTGGCCTATAATGTCACTAAGCCAGATAACGTGCTAACTTTTTAAAAAAGTATAAATAGATGCACACAGTTACCGAATGAAAAATGAAAGCTTCTTACCCAGGCCCCTACTTCCTAGCCCCAGTCTTTCTTCCAAGGGAGTTTTTTAATACCTGACTAGCTTTTCCCAGAATTCCCAGCAGCCCCAACCCATCATATTAACTAATTTTAACAATAATTTAAGATAAACACAATTGTAAAGGCAAATAAATCTTTTGGGAAAGGTTCATGTAAACAAATGGATCTTCTAAATTAATCACCATCGTACATCATCTATAGTTTGGGTCTTTCTGGTCACAAGGAGTTCCAGAGCCAACTGTAATTCGTTTGTATTTTTCTCCCCATGTCTGGATTTTTAGGCATTGATTACTGGGCCTTTCATGTGTATATCTGGTTTCCCTTCCATCAAACAGGAAATTTCCAGAGGAAAGTGTCTAATATGTGTCCTGAGAAGAAGCACCTAGCTCGGTGCATGTTTATCTGACTGATTCCTGACTCTGACTGCAGTCAGATCCCACACTTAGACTGGAAGCTATTGGTCAAGGCCAGCCCCTCCACGTGGCTGCCTCCAGGTGGAAAGCAGAGGGAAGGGCCTGGGAAAAGAAGCACTCACTGACCTGCCTGTTCCAAGGCAACCAACATGGACTGTTCAATAAGGTCTCTTTCTATGAAGCTGCGGAAGTCTTCGTTGTACACAGTGAGATCTGGAAGCTGGAAGGCACAGATGGGCATTTCCAGGGGGTGCTCACTGCTCCCCCCACCCCCACCATTGGAGGAGACATGGGATCGGGCCAGGGAAACAATGCTGGAGCTGGCGTGGGAGATGCCCCTAGACAGGCGTTTTTCTGCAATGAGAAATGGAGTTACCTTAGAACATACACAGCCCAGAGAACTTTCCACTCACATGGTGATAGTTACCTCTTGACAAGGGTTACCTCTTCTAGCACACAGGGGCTAACTCTGAATCTAACTGGCTGCCACATTTCCCAACCCTTTTTCTCAAGCCAAATACAAATGGAGAAATCTAGAAAGTAGTATTTTTGCAAGCACTTATATTAGCACCAAATATATATTCCTCTTTCTACCCTTTTTAAGAGAATTTGCCTGAACTTCTCCCCATGATTCTATCTTCTTTCAATTCCATTTCCCAACATAATAGGGACTCATTCAGTTGGCAACTTGGTCACTGTTTGGTAGGAAAAAGAGGAAATAAGGGAAGTGGGGCTTTCGTTTGGCTAGACTGAATCAAATAATCACTCTGATAATTCTCACTGTTTGGAGAACATAGGAAAGCATTTCCATTATAGAAAATTAATGATAAATCACCAGGGAACTTTCTCATCTACCATCAATATCATTTACTTACATTATTTACTACAACTTTTCTCGATACTCATATTTATCAGAACTGTAGAGGTACAGTCATTCTCACTTAACATGCCACAGAGAAAGACAATAACATAGACCGTGCCCCCAATCATTTCATTTGTTTCAATTACATGGCACTTACAATTCCCCAGCAGATATCCTGTGATCACAATCTGCTCAGTGTCATGTTACAATTCCTTTGCATGGCTTGAGTTATATCAAGATTATTAAAATCGCTAAAAATTATGTTGGGAAGTAGTTCTTAATACAATACTTGCCAGAGATGACACACAAAGTCAATCAAGAGTTGTCTAAAGTTATTTCATAGTGATGTTCTTTTTTAAACCATTTTTTTCAAGTATTTAAAAAGTACCAAAAAATAAAAATAAAAATAAATAAAATAAAAAAATAAAAAGTACCATAAGCCCATGGTAAAAAATCAAAATACCATCAATAGGTGCAAAGTATTACAAAGAAATCTCCCTCATATTCAAAATTTCTGATCCCTTCCCCCGAAGCAAACTTTTGGATCCTTTTAGAATTTTTTTATGCACACAGAAGCACATACAGCTTTTAAAATCATTTTAAAAAACACTAACAAGAACACACCATATAACTCTACTACATCTTACCTCTCTCAGTAGATTTTAGAGATGCTTCAAAAACAGCACATCAAGTTCTACTTAATTCTTTCCAATGGCTGCCGAGTACTCCACAACATAGAAGATTTTAATTTATTTAATGGACATTAAAGGCTGTTTTCAAGCTTTAACTTGTCCTTTTTTTTTCAAGCTTTCATTTCCAAGCTTTATGCTACATATGTGTATGTGTCTATTTATGTATGCATGTATATATTTATTTAAAGGACATATATATACGCCCACATGCACATACACATATATGATAAATTTCTAGAAATCAAATTGAGTCAGAGTACGCATGCATTTTTAAATTTTGATAGACACTGACAAATATTAACCAAAGAGGTAAATGCCCATAATCCTTTGAATTTTACCTTTATGTACCTTATCACAACAACTAGATTGTTCTCCTTCCTCTAGTTCTCTCCCAGTATCTGCAAAGGGCCTTACTACAGAGTAATATTCAAGATGCAGTGAGACAGTGTGGTACCTTCATACAGCGTAATCCCCATAATGCACCGAGACACACTGAGGCCACCTCAGTTTGGCAGGGGAGGAATAGGGTCATTTCCAAAGGATGACTCCATTCAGCAGTCCCCTCTCTTCCTTTCTATTCCATCTACAGAAACACCCCCTCAGTGACCCCAGTACCTTGAACGATGTCATCCTGCCGCTGTAGGGTGGGCCGGGGAGGGCGGGCAGACTCTCTATCAGAAAACCCTTTTTCAGGGGTCCTGGAGCCACCACTCCCTTCACTAAAGGGTGGCGGCAGGTTCCCAGCACGAACTTGACGTAGCTGTTCAAAATCACTGAGGGCGGCACTCACGTCCCAATTCTTTCCTGGCAGGAGACAAAGCAAAAAAGGGAACTGGGTGCTCAGAGTACAGGGAGATTGAGGAAAGACCTAGAACGATCACTCAAACCACCTTCTCAAAACTAGCAAGCATGTGCTCATGAGCGTGTCCATCATTCTCCCAATTCTTACCCTGCTTTAATTTTCTTCATTAACACTTCACTGTGCGGTATCACAATTTATTTATTTACTTGTTGTCTATTTGCTAAGTCAGCTCTGTGAGCACTGACACTTTGTCTCTGGACTGAAAGGGCCCACGCAGACCTAGTGACCTTGTTTGACAGCTAACACAGAGGAAGCCTAAAGAAAGAACGAGCTAGTTTGCACCAGGGACAAGTACGACAAAAGCCCAGGTCTCTTAGTTCTGAGATCCAGAGAGTTCTTAGCCTAGACATGCTCTAGGACGTCCTAGACCATCTGAAACTGTGTATGTGCATTCTTCTATAGAAGGAGCTGACAGCTGTCATCAGCTTACCAAAAGGAATTGTTAACTGCCCCTAAATTTAAGAATCACTACTCTACTGAAGAAAAGACCCTAAATGGTAGATTTGTCATAATAGATTTTTCTGCTGCTTTCTCCAGTTGTATTACTCAATAAATCACATTAAGACATAATCGTTCACACTTTTTTCTCTTCTATTCCATCTGCTACCCACTTAATTCAATTCCTATCACCCAGTGTCCCATCAATCCACTCTAAAGTATCACATGAGATTAATCTTTTTAAAGCACAGTTCTTTTTTTGTTGTTGAGAGAGAGGGCACAAGTGAGCAAAGAGTGGGTGTGGGGTGGGGGGGGGAGAGTGTGTGAGAGAGAGAGAGAGAGAGAGAGAGAGAGAGAGAGAGAGAGAGAATGAACCAGGGCACACCTGAAGTGGGGGCTCGTGGGTTTTTTTTACCCAAAGTGGGCTCATGTTCACCTGAAGCGGGGCTCGAGCTCACCCGATGTGGGGCACGAGCTCATCCAATGTGGGATTTGAACTCACGAACCATGAGATCATGACCTGAGCCAAAGTCAGATGCTTAACGACTGAGCCACCCAGGCGTCTTAAAGCACAATTCTGATCATTTCAGTTCCACAATCAAAATCGCGAATTTCTTGCCACTGCCTACAGAATAAATTCTAGACTCCTGTGTCGGACATTCAAGGCTTTCTATGACCTGGCCTACTTTTCTTTTTTTTTTTACATTTATTTATTTTTGGGAGACAGAGTGAGACACAGTGTGAGCGGGGGAGGGGCAGAGAGAGAAGGAGACAAAGAATCCGAAGCAGGCTCCAGGCTCTGAGCTGTCAGCCCAGAGCCCAACGTGGGGCTCGAACCCCCAAACCATTGAGATCATGACCTGAGCCGAAGTCGGACGCTCAGCCGACTGAGCCACCCAGGCACCTCTATGACCTGGCCTACTTTTCCAGGTTTTTCTCTGTGCTTCAATTTCCCTGACTATGAAAATGGAGATGATTCCATGCAGGGCTGTTATGAAGATAAATGAATTAAAAGCCCTGGTACACAGAAAGCTTTATATATGTATTTATTGCTGTTGCTGTGATGTCTTGATATCATAATTCTCCAGTTAAGCTGCATGAATCATTAATGCCTAATGAATTTACTTCTGAACCATTACATTCACTATTTCTTCCAACTCCCTTTGCTCACACTGCGTCAGTCATACTGGCCTCTGTGCCGTTCCTACAAACAGCTAAGACTGCTCCCACCTTTAGACTTTCCACCAACTATCCCCACTGCCTAGAAGGCTCTTTCCTCAATTTTTTCTACATAGACAACTCCTCATCTCCTTCTGGTATTTGTTCAAATGTCACATTCTTAATTAGGCCTGCCTTGACTACCCAAGTAAAAATCACAACCTATCTCACCATTTCCCTTATCATTTTCCATAGCATTTCACACCTTATAACATACTTTCCAATGACTTGGTTATCATGTTTATTATTTATTGACTGTGTTTCCTGCTATAATATAAGGCCAGTTTTGTTTTATTCAAGCACCTAGAACCTGGCACATAGTAGGTATTCAATATATATTTGTTGAAGAATGAGGACTTTTTTCCTGACTCAACAAACGAACGAATGAAGGTTTACCACACAGTTGGAAATACAGAACACCGTACTGAACACTGACTCTGCATTTCCAACTCTGTGGTAGACTCCTTAAAATCAGATCCTCCTAACAATCAGCTTGTCCAAAACTGAATGTCCATCCTCCTCCTCCTTTTTTTTTTTTTTAATTTATTTTTTAAGCATTTATTTATTTTTGAGACAGAGCATGAGTAGGGGAGGGGCAGAGAGAGAAGGAGATACAGAATCCTAAGCAAGCTCCAGGCTCTGAGCTGTCAGCCCAGAGCCCGAGGCAGGGCTCGAACTCATCAAACGCGAGATCGTGACCTGAGCCAAAGTGAGATGCTCAACTGACTGAGCCACCAACCGAAGGCACCCCCCTTCATCATCCTCCTTCCTAAGACTTGCTTGTCTCCTTCTTCTATATTCCCCAAATCCGTAATGGCATCACAAGCCCTCCAGGCCAGAAACTGGCCTCGTCTTCAGCTCCTCACTACTCAAACCCGACTCCTCTTCCCTCACTACCTAGTCAATGTTTGCGCTCATGACACATCTCTCAAAATCTGTTCTTTCTTGCCCATCTCTATTGTCACTGTCCCATGCACGTCTCACGATCATCCCCTGGTCTTTGGGAGGGGCTCAGCTAGTCTCTCTTCTGCTAATATCTCCCCTCTCAAATCTTTTCCTTACACTACAACCAAAGCTAGCTTTTAAAGAAAAAGCAAGAGAGAAAGACAAAGGCAGGGGGAAAAATGAAGATCAGGCCCTTTGATTTCCCTTCGAAATCCTATCTTAAATCCATCCACTTCTCTCTCTACTGCCACCACAGCACCACTATCATCTCCCACCTCAACTGTGGCAACAGACTTAACTGGGTCGACCACTTCTCTGGCCATCTTCCGATCCATTCTATAGCCTTCACCCAAAGCTCAAATCCAATCATGTCACTCCCCTGACTACAACGCTTCACCAGCTTCCCACTGAACACAGAATGAAATGGAAACTTCTTACCACAGTCTACAAAGGCCCCCGTATTCTGCTTCCTGCCTCTCTACTCATTTCCTACCACTCTTGCTCCACTCCTCCTACCTCGTGCCAAACTCTCTTTCATCTTGGGGTCCTTGCGTAAGCTTCTGTATCGACACTCTCTTGTCCATCCCTTTGTCTTGCTACCCTCACACGCTCTTCCGGATTCAGCTCAAATGTCACTTTCTCAGAAAGGCCTTTCTGTATCCTACATCTAAATTAGGTTTCTCTCTTATACTTCCATACTACCCCCTCAACTTTTCCTTCATAACACAGAAGTGTGTGTGTGCGCGCGTGTGTGTGCACACGCGAGTAAGCGAGAGTGCGGGGGGGGGGGGTTACATCAATATTAATTGTAACATAATTGTGAAGAGCCAGCCTCTGAAACCATATTGTCTGAGTTCAGATCCTCCTTAACTTCTCTGAACCTCAGTTTTTAAAACTGTAAAGTGGGATAATAAAACCTATAATGCAGAGTGACTTTAAGAATAAAATAATCTTATCTCAAGTACCTCACACATATTGAATGCGTACAGCATTCAACACATGTTACAAAAGGAAGAGGAAGCCTTTGAGCTGAATCCTGGAGGATGAGGAGAATTTGGGGAGAACAAAGGAGGAAGAGACACTGCAGACTTCAAAAATAATGTGACCAGGGAAAGGTGACAAGTGGGGCCAGGCTGAAACATAAGAAGGTGGCAGGAGATAAAACTGAAAATGCCAGTCAAGGGCAGAGTCATCCTGAATTAGCATACTGGAGTTTAAACCCAGACCTTCCATCTCCTAATTAACAGGTAGAAGCAAATGTCAAATTGTCACACCTTGCTAAGGCTAACAACCTAACCTGCCCCTTCCTCCACAGGCTTACCCATTTGTATCATTATATACTTCCATCGTCAAAAAACATCTGTTAATTATGACTCTAAGCAAAGGATCCTACTGACATGATTCCAAGCCTTGAGGATCTTAAAGTCTAGAATGTTCACATTTATGGGTATATACAGATATAAGTAAACGAAGGCAGCAAAATGAAAACATTAACTTAATTCACTCTACAAAGAACCATCTATACAAATTAGGGAAGAAAAGAAACAAAACCACGGATGATTCCAAATACAAAAACCCAAAAGTCATTTTTATAAAGAGGAAACCTTACAGATCTAGAATTACGCTCTTAGTGGACTAATATAAAATTTCACTTGCATTACCATAGCACAAATTGACAGTGGAGAAAGCCACCCCCAAAATTCAAGGTAAAAAGGGGATTTTGCATTTTAAAATTATGGTGAGTCATACACAAAGTCATCAGAAGCAACTTAAATTTAAGGCCTGCCATATACAAAGTACCTTTCGGATCACTTTAAACTGTTCCAAGTCATCCTAACAATAGCCTTTTGTTCATTTATGTTTTATTTTTTTATGTTTATTTTTGAAAGAGAGAGAGAGAGTGTGTGAGCAGGGGAGGGCAGGCTCCAGGCTCCGAGCTGTCAGCACAGAGACTCAGGGCTCGAACTCACAAACCTCGAGATCATGACCTGAGCCAAAGTTGGACGCTTAACTGACTGAACCACCCAGGCGCCCCCACTATAGTCTTTTACTTTCTTCTCATGCTCCCCTCATGACTCCTTACCTTCCAGGAGATCTCGGGCCAGCCCAGGCTCTGCGCCTGTGGAACGGACAAAATCCGACAGGACAGCATCCATGTCCAGGGTCATGTGATCATTAAGTACTTTCAGGCAGCTGAGATAGGGTGGACATAGATCAAAACTCAGCCCTCCACCTGAGGAGGAAATAAACACATAAGGCTCAAATTACACTGAGACAGGATGATCACAGCCCAATTTCCGCAGCTTCCTAACCAAATGGGGAAACTATCCTGCCTCATTCATTTCAGTTGAATTTATTATGAAGAGCAACATTTACTTTCCTAATTCCCCATTAATTTCTTAACTACTAAATTAATCACAAAACTTAATGTCACTCTCAATGCTTTTCTTCTTTCTAGAGTATTCCATTTCCCTCCATCAGTTTGCTTACCCAAACTAATAGAAGGAAACAGCAGACTACCCACCCTGAAGAACTCCCCACCTTGTTTATTTCCTTCCTGGCATTTGCTATACCCTGAAATTATTTTAATTCATTGCTGTCTAGTCTCCTCCTCTAATATTTAAGTTTCTTAAAAGCTGAGTGCTTGTGTGTCTTGTTCACTAATGTATCCTCATCATGTATCACTTGGCATGGTGCCTGGCATACAGGCCCTCAGTAAATATTTGCTGAATGAATACTATACACTGAATAACTTTAGAGCTGACTAGTGTTCTGAGCCTGGCTGTGGACACGGAAGGAGCAAACTGACAGCTAAAACTACTCAAAATGAAACAATAAGCTATTACACAAAGCAGAGTAGAGATCCCAAAGGTACACAGAGTTCATTTTTGTCCATTGACTTCATGAACCCAGGAAACATGCCTTTCTCCACCCAGGACAAATGAACCAAATAAGTTCACCTGAAAAAGATCTCCTCTTTCAGACTTGACTTTGGCAGAAATTCTGTCCCTGACCTGATAGCCTGGCACCAATCCACATTCCTCTGAAGTTGGCAGTCCCAGCTGCGGAAGCAATAACAAAGTGAAGAACAATCTCTAACCAAATTTGGCCACAGTAGACAGGTTTAGTTCTCTGGAGAAGACGGCTTGTTCCTACAGTAACCGTAACACACCTGTCCTACCACACCCACCAATCTCTTGCTTTTTTGGGGAAGGCCAAAAGTAGAATTCTCAAAGGTAAAACGTGACTCGGGTGACTCTCTTCAGAAACATCTTCTCCTAAACAACCTGAAGTCTAAGGGTGACTCAGATACTTTTTCTTCAAACGCCCCTTACCCCAGGACACAGCTTGTTCAGTGGTATGATCAGATCCTGATTTTCTGCATTCCTTAGAAATATTAAGGCAAATAAACAGCGATGATTTGTGGGTCATAAAGCCAGTAGGTCACTAACTTGGTGACACTGAATTTTTTGAGAGAGGGCAAAATACAAAGTATTCTCTCTTGTACGATTCCAGTAGTACAAGAGATCCATGAGTGCAGGGGCGTGTTTTATTCATATTTGTAGCCCCAACACTTAGCACAGCACCTACAATATTGTAGGCAGTCAGTAAATGCCTGATGAGTAAATGATTAAATGACTCAGTGAACCTCCACACTAGCCACCACCAAACCAATTTTTGGCTTAAGTTAGCAGATAAGAAATTCCAGGGTCCTTCATGCTTCATATAATCCCTCTATTTCTAGATGGTCCTAATCCATCTTCCCAAGTTTCAGAAACTCTCCTTTCTGTTACTACTTCCACCACCCTCGGATCGTATGATTTTGACCTACACCTGTGTATGTTAGCTGGGTGGCTTTGGTCAAATTACTTACAGGGTTTCAGTTGCTTCTTGTATATCCTAGACTTGCATTTGATGACCTCTAAGATCCTTTCCAGGGTTAAAAAAAATGAACTTCAGTTCACTACAGCCTGACATGATCCTGACATTCTCTTTCGGTCTACATATCATCAATGTCTAATTTCCTTCCACTTCAGTATCACAATTGTAAGAAAAGGCTGCCAATGCATAAGGAACTTTTGGCCCAACATACCTCAAATTCAAACTGTTAAGTTATAATTAGTTTCTTACAATTTATACTTAAGAGTTCAATCCCTTCAGAATTCATAAATGAATGGTGGCTTCCCCCTCCCCTGATACAGAGAAGAATTTCTTCTCCAAGACCATTTTAGTCCTTGTCTCAGAGGTCACAGGAGATGGGTGCAGCCCAAATAACTTAAAAGCATGACGAATGCTAAACCAAGAGCAGAGCAGCAAAATGAATTTCAATTTTCTCTCTTAAAAAAAAAAAGTATGCAAAGGAACTTAGGAAAGCCACTCTAATAACTTTCTGAAAGAATGTGGGAGATGTACAATAAACACACAAACGGCAGTCAGCAATAAGAGACAAGAGTTGATTAAGCCACACACGTGTAGGCAATTTCCCACCCAGCCAGACACAGGCTCCTGTGACTAAGAAACCAGTGAAAACCATCAATGCCATTCCATGGCATTACAGATCTCATTTGCCAACATAGTGGGTCATTCTTTTCAAAAATTAGTTTTGGAAAGTAATGTAGAGATCCAACGGTTATCTAGAATTACTTGCTAAAAAATTCAACTCACTAAACCAAACTTCTTGGCAGCACATTGTTGTACTTGATGCCTCCAGGTGCGGCCACAGACTCCACCCTAACCCCACCCACCAGGTGAGGACAGTAGCTTTTGTTACATCACCAGCAACACCGGGCTTGCGCTTCTCAAATTCCAAATGGGAAATATCCACAACACAGACTAAGACACACAGTCCTGGGCTCTGTCTCAGCACACAGGAACGAAGAAAAGAAAACACTGGCTTCCAAACTTTCACGCAAAGCAGAGGAGGCACTCAAACATCTGTTGATTGAATCATGTATAGACAAATCTCAACTGGGGTCAAAACCCGCCAATCCTCCAAGCGGACAAGACTAGTGATTATGTAATCCAGTGTCTGCCCCCATGCAGGAACCCTTCTATCACATCTCTGACAGAGAAATCAGCCCGCCTCCACATCGATACAAGCTTTGATGGAGAACTCATTCCTTTGCCACATGTCCATCTTATTGTTGGACAACTCTAATTGTGAGAAAACGCTTTTCTAAACTAAATCACCAGCCCACCTCCCTCTGTAACTTTCACATAATGGCCTTTGTTCTCTTCTCTGGAACAATAAAATCTATTCCCAAGAATGATGGCATTTTCATAGAAAAGGATTAGAGAAAGCATTTCTTCACAGAAACATGGGTTGTTTACAAATAAACAAATATAAGGCTTAAAAAGTCAGGTGGTTGCCCAAAGTCTCAACCCAGATATTTTGGACACACGCTCTCTCTACTGCACCACACTGCCTCCCAAGGCACTGTGGCATTACTGAACCCCAAATGACCCTGATTCTTACCCACTGAATTCTAAGAAAGGGCTGAGCCTCTCGCTCATATTTATTAAAGACCTAGACTCCTGCCTTATATTGCTCTCACTTTAAATCCTACTGTTTTCCTCAGCAATTTTGACACCCACCTGCACAATCCATCCAACGTTTCTGCCAGAGAGTTTCATAATCTCATCAAATGCAAAGACCTCCATCTCCACTCCAACGCCCCAGTCCTGGACCCTGCCATCTCCTAAAATTACTGCACCTCTGTACTTTCAACTTCCAACACCTTACTTTGGCTACAACCTCATCTTGCTTCCAGCCTTCCCTCTCCACTACTAAACCTCTCTCTTGATTCAAGATATCCTCACCTCAGACTAAGACATCCAATTCCTTATTCACCTTATTCACTAATTCAACAAAAATCATGGAGTGTCTACTATGTGTTAGGTACGCTATGGTCAGGATTAGAGACACAACAATGAACTAGATAGATACAATCTTTATCCTCACAAAGATTCTAGTCTGGAGGGGAAAAAAAAAAACCCACAAAATTTCATAGAAGATTATAATAAAGAAATGCCCAGGAAATGGGTATTATCTCTTACAGGGAGTCAGAAAAAGCTTTCCCAAGGAAGTGCTATTACATCTAAGGACCAAAGAATGAGTAGAAATTGGAGACAAGCTGGGAAAGAAAGAAAACCCCAAGCAGAGGAAACCTGGCTCAACGTTCTGTGGTAGGAAGAAACACAGAGGTGAGAATGGTACAAAATGAGAATTAGGAGAGGCCTAGTGGACCCTGTTAAAGATTGAGATTTCATCCTAAAAGTAACGAGAAGCCATTGAAGGGTTGGAAGTAGGGACCGGGCATGATCAGATTTGAAATATCAAAAGATCTCCCTGGTTGTAGTGAGAAGAAGAATGTGGAAGGAACACACGGATTTAAGGAAACTGGTTGGGAAATTATTGCAAAGACGTGATGGTGAGCTGGACTAGGATGACAGCAGTGGCGATGAAGAAAAATGGATAGATGCTACTTTGTCCCTTCTTGCCTAATTGAATATGAACCCAAAGACCAATCCCTTATTTTTCCTGTAAAAGCCTAGTTCTGCTGTCCGTCTAGTTCACTGGCCCGATATGGATGGCTCTCCCATTCAACTTCTCTGCTATCTGAGGTTCCTGAGCAAGACGAGATCACATAACCACGCAGGGCAACCCAACTACAAATTAATGGTATCCAGTCTCATTACTTTCAATGAAACACTGCTGTCTCCGCTTGACTTTGGTACAAGTCAACCCATCTTCTTGGCTACTGACCCACACCTCCACCATTCTCCTACCCAATCCTCATCACCTCCCTTATTCCTGACATGTGATCTTGCCTCTGACTTCACAGAAAAAAATTATGAAACAAGGCGAAAGGGATTCCTTCGTGTTTCTTCCCCTGTCCCCACCTGCCGGTTGCTCTTCTCCTCCATCCTGCAAAACTCCTTAAGAGCGACGACATCCACTGATGCCACTTCCTCACCTTAGGTGCAGTGCTCATCCTGCCAAAATGTGCTTCTACTGAAGGAAAGTGAGTGGCACTGACTTACAGTAAGGTCATCACAATCACCCTTACTGCTTATCTGAAGTGTTCTCTCTTTGTAGCACTTGACGCTGGTCACTCTTCCTGCCTCTCTGGCTCTGTGTCTTGGTCACCTTCGCGGACTCCTCTTCCTGTGCCTGCACCAA